CGGTGGCGGGAGGAGATGATGAGCGGTCTGTAGGCTAGGACAAGGCAGGGGCTATGGCTGCTGGCCTTGCCCAAGCAGCCAGGGGAAGCCCTGCTCACCCTAGGCCGGTGCTTGGGCAGCGCATCGGGGCTGGCTCTGTGCATAACCCTTCTCTAGGTCTTTAGGTGATTCCTCTTCCCCAGGAGGTGAACCGGAGCTGGCTCATCCCGCTCCCGGGCTCGGGCAGGCTGCGGGCTGGTTGCAGCCCTGCTCTGTGCCAGTCCCTCTGCTTGGCCCGTGCTGCTGGGGGAGTGGAGCGTGTCAGTGCTCTGCAATGACCTCTGCTTCGAGGGCCTTTCACACCCATGGAGCTGGCAGCTCGTTGCGTCCTGAGCATGAGTCAGTGTCACCCCCCAGGGCTGGGAAACGTGGGCAGGAGACTTCCCAAAGCTATGTGAGCTGCGCAGCCTGAGGCTGGAAAGGAGAAGTTCAAAAGGGAACGTAGTGCCCAGCCTCAGCTTCCTCTGCATAGAGCTGCTGCAATCCAGGTCGCACTGTCCTGAAAGCACAAGCAGGACGGGGACAGCGTGACCGCTGCGCTCAGCCCTGCCACCCCTTCCCACGTGGCTCTGGTCAAAGCCGTGGCCTGGGACCCCTGCGGCAGCCCAGGGATTTGTCCCCCCTTGGCCAGGGCTGTTTGGGCACCTGCCAGTTCTGCTCATTCGGTGGCAAGAGCAGAGGTGCCATTGGGGCTCTCCTGGCCCCTTCACCCCTCCTCGGCTGGTGCATGGGTGCGGGTGATTTGGGGAAAGGCTCATGGAGGCGGCTGGAGGCCGCCTGAAGGCTGGGGCAGCCCCATGTGCCAGGGCAGCAGGGACCAGGCCAGGGCTGGGGACGGATGCAGAGCTTTTGGACTATGCGGGAGCAGAGCCAGGAGATGTCTGCTAAAACCTTCCCTTTCCTCCCCCAAGGAGAATGGAGGCCAGCATCTGCTACAGCCGCGTTTCCTGATGATACAAGCCCTGCCCTGGCCGGGCACCCAGCCCTCACCTCCCCGCCGGCTGCCGCTTAGGGGAGCGAACCGGGACCTGCTCTGCTGTGC